AAATAAATAAATAAAATCTTTAAAAAAAAAAAATCATTTATATAAAAAAGAGAGAGAGACAAACCAAGAAACAGACTCTTAACTACAGAGAACAAGCTGGTGATTACCAGAGGGGAGAGGGTGAGAGGGAGGAGGGAAATGGGATGGGGATGAAGGAGCACGCTTGTCCTGATGAGCACTGAGTAATGTGCAGAATTGTTCGATCACTGTGGTATACATCTGAAACTCATATAAGTATGTTCCTTATTCTGGAATTGGAATTTAAAGCTTAATGAAATAAAAAATAAGTAAATAATTTAAAAAATCATATCTATAGCCTATGTAAATCCACAGTTGAATGTGAAGTAGAAGATTGCCATAAAGCCAGGTGAGGTAAGATAGGCACGAAGATGTCTGTGTGCTGGGCAGGGTGCAGTGGCTGGGGGATGCGATGTGATGCCATCTTCACAGCTGCCTAAAAGCAGAGACCACATTTACTGTCCTGATTCGGAAGAGGTCTGTGTACTTAACATTTACGAGATGTGTATTTCCATCCAGAGAGTCTGGGTATCAGCCTGGACCAGGGAGAAGGGAAGATGAAGGAGCAGGGTGGTGGTTCTGGAAGCCTGTGTGCTGAGGGTCCCCCAGGCATCGTGGATCAGGGGGAGAGCCGTTCTTTTGTGTTAACAATCATCTTTCCCTTTTCAAGTCATTTAGCTTCATTGTTCATAAACATCAGAGGAACATGCAAATTAGAGCATGCTGAAATGCTTTCATTTGACCAAGAGTGTTTTCAAAGAGCTCCCTGCTGCTCAGCAAGAGACCTGAGCAGCTGGCTTCACTGAACTGTAGAACGAGCAAAAAGATGTTAAATAAGGATTAGGGGCTTTAGACAGTAAGTAGAAGATGTTAAATGTGTTCCCTGGCTCATTTGTGGGCCTTTTTCTTAATTCAGCAGGCAAGCATTCTGTGAAAGAGCAGCTTCGTGGTTCCTGTGTTTGGGGTCTTGTTTTTTTCCCCTGTCCAGAGGGAAAGATAAGAATTTAACATAAAGGAAGATAAGAGGCAGATATAAAGCAGGCTATACTAATTTTTGGTCGTCTGCCCATTTGTAAGTTCCATTCCCCCTCAGGCCCCATCAGCACAAATTGATGTTAAATACAAGTTTATTTTATGAGCGAAATGGGCCTTGAAAGCCAGGCTGCTTTCTTTCAGGCCTGCACTCAACAATATCTTGACTATGGGGCATTTGCATTGCCTGGCTTGTGACCGTGGGGCCTGGCAGCCTCCAGAGTGTCGGCCCACCACAGATGTTTGGCACCTTCCTCCATAGCCCCTCGGTTGTCCTGAATCAGTGAGCTGATTTCTGGAAGTCTCTTTCATCAGTGATAAAATGGGCATTTCCTCTGAGCGAGAGGGGTGGGGGCTGGTGGGGTGACGCTGACCAGAAGAGGAAACCAAAGCACGCCCTTGAAGCTGAGGACTTCACAGTGTGGGCCTAGAGGACAAGAGTTGTTGCTTTGTCGAGAGCTTTCTCAGGCCTGACCCCACATCCCCTCCCCTCCTCCTGGGGTTATGTCATTTAAGCCAGCTGGTCTTTCTTCTTTGTCACAGCTTTACTTAGCATTGATTATGTAGGAGGCCATTAGAGAGGGGTCAGGGTGGCTTCTCACAGCAGCCCACACACACTTGCAGAAGGCTCCTTGGAGTTTCTCACTCAAACTTTTACTCGGTCCGAGCCTCCTGCCCAGCTCAGTGGATGCCCACCTTCCTAGAGGGGAGCTAGAAGAGGGAGAGGTGTTCTCTACCCTCAAGGAGAAAGACATGCACCAAGACTGTCCTGCGAGGTGCAGTAAAGAGTGATACACCAGAGGGCGCCTGGGTGGCTCAGTTGGTTAAGCGACTGCCTTTGGCTCAGGTCATGATCCTGGAGTCTCAGGATCGAGTCCCGCATCGGGCTTCCTGCTCAGCAGGGAGTCTGCTTCTCTTTCTGACCCTCCCCCCTCTCATGTGCTCTTTCTCATTCTCTCTCTCAAATAAATAAGTAAAATCTTTAAAAAAAAAAAAAAAAGAGTGATACACCAGAGACTCACAAACACACAGCCATACGTGGGTCGGCCTGTTGCGTGTCCAACAGGTTATGTTTTCATTTTCAGTTAGAACCTTCGTGACAGAGTTCAAATTAAAGAAAACATTTCTCAATACCACCGTGGAGAAACAGGCAGACCTACATGAAGTTGAAAATGAGATCACCAAAACAGTAAGTTTCCTGAAAGGCATCTTTCTTCAAGTCCTTCGTTTTCTAGAACAGATTTCATTCAGAATTGGGAACCTCATGGGAATCAGCTGTATTTCCTAGGATGTTCATTTCCATTATATTTGGAAGGTAAACTTCATGGTAAAATTAAAAGCTTCTTGGACATAGAAGGAAGGTGCTGAGGACAACTGGTGCCCAATAGAGGCGTTTCTTCCATGTGCCCTCACATGCAGCCCTTACCTTTTTCATGTGCAGACTCATAGTCACAGATGGTTAGATGCTGTGCACCAATAAGAACTATTGGTGATGAGGAAAGATCCAGAAAATCCTACTATCTCATCTGCAGTTGACATGCTGTGTGACTTTTTCTCTGTGTTTCCAAACTTGGGGAGAAGGATGCTCTTTTTCCTCAGGGCAATGCCAAAGGCATAACAGTTAATCCTGATTTTCCAGGGTTGAGAATTCACTGCATAGATTATCTAGAGGCCTTGATTCCTCTTCTTTCCCTCTTTTCTTCTTTTTGTCAGGGGAAGAAAAAAAAAAAGAAAGGAGACGAAAATGAAGCTCAGATAGTAAATTTTACCTCTCATCTGCTACCCGAGACTAAGATTTGGTGTTCAGAACATCAAAAATTGCCATTAAAACAAGTTGTAGAGATTAATTGATTTCCAATTTCCATTTTACTTGCTCTTTATGAGTAAGAATATATTAGCCAAAACCTGTAGGGTTTTATAGGACTGTAGATTTTATTTGTGTAAATTTAGATTCCAATTCCATTTCTGTATCAGCTGAGCATCTACTCTATGACAGGCGCTTTGCCAGATGCCTCACTCCTGTAAGAGGTATTGTCAGTGCCTTTACAGCTAGAAGAGTAGGAGGCCCTGAAAGTTAATGACATTGCCTGAGTTCACACAGAGCAGGTGCAAAGTTAGGGAACAGTCCACTAGACCAGCCTCGCTTCTGACACCATTTGCAAGTTTGGGGATCCCCAAGACCACCCTCAGATTTGATAATTCACTGTAAGGACTTAGATCTCATGGAAAGCTGTTAAACTCATCGTTGTGGTTTATTACAGTGAAAAGGTCCAGGTTACAATCAGCCATGGGAGACACACATAGGGCAGAGTGAAGGAGGATTCCAAATTTGATGCTTCTAGTTGTCCTTTCCCCATGGAGTCCCGTACCGTGTTAACTCCTCTTGTCAATGATGTATACAATATTCATGGAGTATTGCTGAACAGTGAAGCTCCCCTGAGCCTTGGTGTTGAGAGCCAATATGTGAACATAGTCAACTGCTCATATGGCTGACTTCAGTCTCCAGTCCCTCTGGAGGTCGGGCTGATACCATGTAACCCAAAGCCCCCACATAAGTTACGTTGTTAGATATTTGGAGTAGCCCAGGGTCTCCAGGTAGACAAAGGCAGGACATTCCAAAAGCTTATTAATTACCTCCTGGAAGCCAAGGGCCGGACTTCTCTTTGGGCAAGGTTAAATTCTTTACCATACAGCAGGATATTATGTCTACTAACACTATACCTGGCATTGTCACTGCAGTCCATCTGCCTGTTGGTTGTGCTGTAGGTCAGTATTTCCTTCTGGGGTCATGCAGGGGCTTCATGCAGGGGCTTCGAACCCTGCACAGAGGTGCAGTCCTTCGTTGTTCATTTTCACCCAGTATGAATGTATAATTTATTAGTGATGTGACATCCCCACTCCCAAGAATAGTGAAGATTTAAGCAGTGACTAGAGAAGCCATTTAAGTAGTCTTCCCTAAGGTGACATTCCGTTCTGAAATGTGACTTTTCTCTTTTTCCCTGGAGAAAAAAAAAGTTTAAATCATTATACTACAAATACATCACTGCCCATTGGAATGTAGAGCAATGTCACACAAAGCCAAAAGGGTTTAATAACATCCCATGTTTGAATCCATCTTATGAAGAATCAAGTGTGCCTGACATACAGGCTTTGAAGACAGGCACATCTGCATAGGTCAAGGTATTGTGACCTTCTGCTGCCCAGAAAGGGTCCCCAGCCCCTACTGTTGGGGGAACAGAAAAGCAGGCATGGAACTTTATGCCCTAGAGGGGTTTTCTGCTTTCTCTGAGGGCACAAGGCAAACACAGGGAGAGTCACCCTTAATTTGCTCTCAACAAAGGGGCTCTTGACCCACGTAATATGATTTCCCATGGAGAGCCTTTTTGAAGAGGACCTATCTTTGAGCTAGGTCAACCCGCTGTAGATTGTGAGGGGTCTGCGTCGGGCCTGCCAGACCTGGGGTAGCTGAAGCCTTTTCAGTGAGGCTTGTTCACTCTGCAAAGTCCAAATAAACAGTTGCCTCTCAGTTTTTTGAAACCCTGGGTCCTAGGAGAGATCTGTTCCTTTGAAGATGTTTTGCATCCAAGGGTGCTGTTCTGAACATCATTTCCTGCCAAGATTTTCCCCACTGATTTACTATCTGCCTCTCTCCCTTTGTACTCGGGAAACAACAGAACAAGAGCAGGGAGGCATTTAAGAAGGGAACAAAAAAAGGACACCACTGCTCTGTAAAGCTGCCCGCTGATAACCTGGTGGCTGGAAAATGCCTGTTTTATCCTGAAAATAGGAAATCGGTTCTAGGTCTGAGGCTTTTATCTAACTCACAGTTACCGACAAACCTGTTTTTCCTTTCAGTTAAATATGTGTTTTTCGACATTACCTGGTTATACCCGATCCACAGTTTATGCTTCTAGGTAAGTAACGGAATTACACTCATGAACCAATCTATACAAAGGGGAGACTGTTGTAACATAGGCAACAGCAACAAAACTGGGCCCTGTTCTGACCAAGCCACAGAGTGACCCTGGGGCCAAGGTCACTGGACCTCCATGCTCTCCCATTCCCTTCCTGGAGAATGGAGATGCATTCATTTTCCAAAAGCCCTGGGCCCACATGTCATTTTAGGACAATTAAAAACCTACACACTTCGCCAACAGGGAGCCCAGTGCAGTGGTCATGTCACTGCAAACCACCTTCTCCTTGGCCTCCAACGTGACGCTGTTTGACCTGGCTGACGGGATGCAGAAATGTGTCAACTCCTGTAGGTCCTCTGCTGAGGTCTGCCAGCTCTTGGGATCTCAGAGGCGGATCTTTAAAGGTAAAGAACGGCCCTCTGGGAGGACCCTAACCATATGGTTAGGTACAGAGGCACTCGGGGCTCAGGCTCAACACGTTCATCACAGAGCCAGTCTGTGTTTGACATGGGTGTTAAGCGAGGGGCACTTGGGTGGCTCAGTCGGTTGAACATCCAACTCTTGATCTCGGCTCAGGTCTCAATCTCAGGGGCATGAGTTCAAGCCCTGTGTTGGGCTCCATGCTGGGTGTGGAGCCTACCTTAAAAAAAAAAAGAAAAAGATGGGGCGCCTGGGTGGCTCAGTCGTTAAGTGTCTGCCTTCGGCTCGGGTCATGATCCCAGAGTCCTGGGATCGAGCCCCGCATCGGACTCCCTGCTCAGCGGGAAGCCTGCTTCTCCCTCTCCCACTCCCTCTGCTTGTGTTCCCTCTCTCACTGTGTCTCTCTGTCAAATAAATAAAATCTTTAAAAAAAAGAAAAAGAAAAGAAATGTGTGTCAAGCGAAAGGCCTTCATGTGTCCCTACCTTTGTACCCATGTACATGCACCCCCACACACACAGCCTTGAAGTCCCCTGGTCTTTGGCACACTGCCTCTCCTTTTCTCCCGGACTTCATTGGTGTGGGAAGGGATACAGGAGCTGATAAAATGAAATCATTCTTCTTGACCTTGAAGAGTTCCAGCTCTCTCTGGGGAGACAAAGTCACACACAGAATATACATGCTTATCAATACCCCAAATCTCCATCATATAAAAAACAAAACAAAACAAAAAACCATGGGCAGTGTTACTCATCTTGTGGGTTTGTTTGCAAATTATCAATGCACAGAAATAAGACCAGAATGATGTAGGCCAGACTCTACTCACGGTGCCATTCGTGATGATTTCTCTTTTCTTGTTCATGCTTTATCTGTTTTGTCAAAGCTTCTGCAGTACATCTATGTATGAAGCAGATAAAAAGGGGATTAGAGACAACAACTTCATAAGGCAAATTTGGGTCTTGGAGAGGAAGTTTTGCCTCTGGGATGGGAAAACTTAGCTAGAATTAAAAGGGGGCTTATTCCTGCTGCTGTCTCGTCAGTAATCAAAGTGAGCTCCAGTTAGCAAATTGTGCTACACAGTCAGGACTAGCGAAGGATGTGGAATCTGTGAGCCTCCCCATCAGGTGTCCAGATGCTGATGGAAGTTGCAGGGAGCAGGTTTGGTGCTGTATCTGCTGGAAGATCCAGGACATTCCCAGTGGCTCAGGGCTTTCTGAGTGCTGATCCAGAGGGCTCTCTTCATGGCCCTGTGCACCGCAGAGCCTGGGAGCTGGGGTTAACCCTGTACCCTATCGTAGACGCTGTAGCCTTAGCTCATTGTAAGGCTGTTATTCATCTGGGGGAAAAGCTAAGCCTTCTGGAACTGAAGTGGTTGCCATTTAGCATCACTGGGGAATTAACTAAGTTTATGCCCCATTATACTGTGCTCTCAACTTCGAGGCAAGAGCTCTTTGATTTTCCTTTGTTTCTCTTGCCAGTGATTCCAAGGTCCCAGTTTTTCCTCCCCAGTGAGTAAGAAGGGGACCTTCCAATTCACTAAATACTTCGAGTACCTCCTTTGTGGTCAACATTGTACCAGGTTATTTTTATGTCCCTAGTAAATGCATTTCATGTCTTGCAAATCAAGTGGCCACATACTTGGATTGGTAAGATCCTGCTCGGAAGTAGCCGTGCCCACTCTCCAACCCCATTCTTTCTACTGCTTTGATGTGGCCTATGGGGAAGCCCCTAGCTTCCTTGCTTCCTTGCCGAGGTCCCATTCTTTGTTTTGTTTTGTTTTTTAAAGATTTTTTATTTAGTTAGTTGACAGAGAGAGACACAGCAAGAGAGGGAACACAAGCAGGGGGAGTGGGAGAGGGAGAAACAGGTTCCCTGCTAAGCAGGGAGCCTGATGCAGGATTCGATCCCAGGACCCCGGGATCATGACCCGAGCCGAAGGCAGACACTTAACCGACTGAGCCACCCAGGCGCCCCATTTGTTTTGTTTTTTAAGATTTTCTTTATTTATTTTCTCAAAGCAGTGTTAGGTTCAGAGCAAAACTGAGAGGAAGGGCCAGAGATTTCTCATCTGCTCCCCTGTCCCGACATGTGCTGGTCCCCGTTCTGTACCTCCCTTTTCAGAGCCCTTGAAAACAAAGGCAGCCATGCACCTTGGCTGAAAACAGGCTCACTTTTCTGGTTTTGCTCCCGGTTCTTCAGGTTCTTGTCCATACCCAGCTCTGTCTTGCCTCCCTTTCTGAGTGCGAGAGAGGTGGCTCTGATAAGCAGGGGCTGTCATGTTCCAACACCTGGGTGTTCCCACTGGGCTACTGGACCCTCCACTTCCTCACCTTCCAAGGAAATACAGTTCTCATGCCTCCGGAGGCTTAGAGTCTTTGGCAATCCCCCAGGGAGTGTCTCAGCCTTGGGTTTGCATAAGTTCTCATTGTCTGTCTGGCGGATGTTATGCCCAGGAACGACCATGGGAATTGTAGATGTAGAACAATCACATTGCCAGGCTTAAAATGAAAATGGGATTATACATGGTTGCATTTGGTGGATTTGTGATGGAATGTTCTCTAAGGATTTTTAGGATAGCGACTCCTCTGTTGCAGAGGCAAGGCCAACTTTCCTTGCTTCTGTGCAGGGAAGGGTTGCTTTAGCAGGCAAGTAGTATTTGCCAGCAGGCTGGATTAATGGGCAGGATGGAAGGAAAATGTGACATTGGCTTCCAGAAAATATCTAATCAGGCCAGGCAACTCAGGTCGGCTGCTGGACAAGGCCAGCACCAGCCTTTTGCCCCAGAAGTGTTTCTTTATATTAAAGCTTGAGGATTGGCAAAGCCGTCAAAAAGTTTAGAGGAGGGGCGGAGGGGGTTGGTCCCTCTGCAGTGCCAGCTTTGCAGCAAGCCTGGTGAGGTTTTCCATTTTCTTAATTTTTCTCGCTTAAATACCAACTTTTCACAATAAACAAAGGAAATTCTATCACACGCACAAATAGAGTTCTGCTTTAGCACGCCAGCTTCCAATGATAAAGACAGGAAATGCAGTGTTGAAAACCAAAGCTGTGTCCTAAACTTACCTCCCTGTGACCAGGCCGTACGGCAGGTGCCAAGCCCTCGGGACTCAGAAAAGGAGGTGGAGGCGGGGGCCCCGAGTGGGTGTCAGCTCACATCACTACGGTGGGGGCCGCTGTGCTGTGATAAGAGCTGACTCCTGGTTTTTGCATGCATTGGTGTCTTCCTTAAGGTGGGAGAGGGGAGACATGCCTCCCTGCACCATATACACGCATTGCCCTTCGGTGGCCTCTCCTGGTTGCGAACTTGCTCTTAACCTCCCGGCAGCAAGAGCAAATCTCAGCGTTGCCTTCCCCTTCCCCCTCCTGTAAAGACATTAGTGTTCACTATCCAGTTAGTTGCCTATTTTTGTTCTACTGTGTACCCCACTTACATGTGTCTTTTTGTCGGGCCTGTCTTAGATAGTAAGCGTACCCTCGTCAGGTCTCGTGTATACATACAGAGAGGGTCTACTGTATGCAGCCTCAGGGAGGGTCTGCTGTATACAGCCTCAGAGAGGGCCACATGCCCAACAATGAATGCTTTTTGATAAAAAGGAAATACTTCTTTGTCACCCGTGACAGGAGCACGGCCCACGTGCCCAGAGCTGGACAAGCCAAGTAGATTAACATGTAGAAAGTCAGGCCCTAAAGAGAAGGAGGTAGCAAGCCTGAAAGAGACACTCCTCTGCCCACACCTGCCTTCCGTGGTGACAGCCTGGTAGACTGACAGCCCGACAGCACCTTCAGAGCATGTACTGAGCGCCGTGTGTCACCATCTCTGGGCAAGGTGATGGAGCCCCCGAGATGAAGAAGCCCCCTAAAACCCGCCAGTGCAGCGGGGAGACAGCCAGGAAACATAATTAAAGAACATCATGCTGGGGCAGCAGATGATCTGCCGCGCCGACCCTGGGAATCCATCTGTGGGCCGCAGGCTACCCTGTCTCGGGAGTGCACGGCCTCCCTTCAGGCCGCAGACTCAGAGCAGACCCAGACACAGCCTCCACTGGAGACAGGTCTGAGCCTCACCGAGTCCTAAGCAGGGCATGGTGACGTTTCCCGGCTCTGTGCTGGCTCCCGCTGCGGTGCTTTAGCAGGCAGCCACAGCAGAGAGCACGGCATCTGGGGCAGGGGTTGCCGTGGATGCTGGAGTCGGGGACAGCACGCCCTTTCTTCTGTCTGGGTTCTCTGTCCCACGGCATGCTTGAGGCCCCGGGGGCCTGGGGGCTGAGCCAGGGAAGGAATGGCAGAGGGGGCTCCAAGGGGGCTTCTAAAAGGAGTCTTGTACCAGGCAGGCTTTTTGGAAATTGTTCTCAGAGCCTCTTTAAATAGAAAGTTCATGCATCTTCGGGTTTGAAGTGGAGAAGGGTTTGTTTTATGTCACCGTCTTGCTTTTCCATTCTAGCGGGCAGCCTGTGCAAGCGGAAGACTCCGGAATGTGACAAGGAGACCTCCATCTGCACCGATCTGGACGGGGTCGCCCTGTGTCAGTGCAAGTCGGGCTACTTCCAGTTCAACAAGATGGACCACTCCTGCCGAGGTACCAGCAGGTTCTCGGGGCTCCTGCGGCCTGTCCCGGCACGGGGAAGATGCTTTTCTCTGCCCCAAGCCCTCTGCTCTAGGTGTGACGGTTCCAAACTGGGAGTAATTTGTTCTTGTCCTGTTGGCCACAGCAGGACTGGGTATGTTATCTCCGTAGAATAATAGCATTATCTCTGACTAGTGCACACTGGTCTGGCCCTTCATGTTCGGAGGAAAAGAAGACAGAATGGGAAAGCCCATGCCTAACTTCACTTAGAGAAGTTAGGAAAATTATTGTTTTAATTCCCAAAGCTTGATTCTGTTGTCTGCTAATCTTTGAAAATGGAAACCCAAGCACGGAGTCAGGCCTGTCCCTTTTATTTATTTATTTATTTTATTATATTTTTTTAAAGATTTTATTTAATTGACAGAGAGAGACACAGCGAGAGAGGGAACACAAGCAGGGGGAGTGGGACACCTCAAATCTGAGGTCAGTGCTCAGTCAGTGGGAGAGGGAGAAGCAGGCTTCCTGCCGAGCAGGGAGCCCGATGTGGGGCTCGATCCCAGGACCCTGGGATCATGACCCGAGCC